ATTGCACGATGAGGACAGGGTGTGGTGGTGGGGGGGAGAACAGTCCTTATTATTATACATGACACTTCATGGCCTAAAAATGTTTTTATGTTCTACCATACTGATTAAGTGGAACGTTGATTATTTAAAAGGAAAAAAAAAAAAACTTTCTTTCTTTTGGTGGGTCATCCGGATTTTCAAAAAGTTCTGCTTAAAACATTTCCCTTAGAACTTAGTAGCTGTTATGAAAATTGCATATTTAGGCATCTATTTAATGCTATTATTTAATGGAATGTAATTTTTTTTTTTTAAGGAGATGGAAGTTTATTGAATACACCACAAGGGAATAACAGACAGGACAGCAAAGGAGAAATTGCCAGGAGGCAGTGGTGGGGGGCTCTAGGAAGGGGGGGAAGTGAGAAGGTATGGGAACACATTGACTTTTCCTGTTTTGGTACCAGTGCCCGGTTGTAAGCAGCCCACTGGTCAGCGAGAGCCTATGGCTATTTTGAAGTGGGTCACTTAATGAGCCTGTTTGCATTCAGCCTGGTGGTCGCGGCAGGCCCTTTCCCCTTACTTTGGTTTCCATTGCTCCAGCCTCTTGCCTAAAAGCAGCCTCTACATTCCCCACGGACCGATCGACAGTGACACATCTTCGGCATTTGGGTGGAGGTCTCGTCTTCAGTAGCTGCTTCCTGCTGGGCAGGGGCGGGGGACACCCTGTCCCCACCTAAACCTGTTGGTCCATCAGGGATTCTGCGCAGTTACAGACCAGAGCTTGGTATCAGATTCATGCGCTGATAGGCGATTTAAGTGAAACTCTTGGTGGCTGGGTCCATGGGGCACAGCGGGAGGGGACCCTTGGATGAGGGCACGGGCTGGAATCCTTGTTGACTCATCATCCTTGAGCGGGGTGGTTGGATTCATGCCGACGTGGAGGAGTGCCGATGTGGAGGAGTGTTTTTGCCTGTAGATCAAGATGGTGGCCAGACCCGTGGGAAGAGAGGAGAAACATGAGGGCCCGAAAGAAGCAAGGTGGCTGAGAGTCTGCCACGAGTCAGCCACATGTGCAGATTCGCCCCGGACGAGCTGCCACTGCCAACTGTGCTGCAGGCTGGGGGACCTCCGGGGGGCAGCGGGAGAGCAGAGAGAAGGGGTCCTTCGCCGTCGCAGGTGGGGACAGTCTGACCTTCAGACCACACTGGGGAGCCGCCCTGGCCAGAGACCTTCAGTTGTCCGGGAAGTACTAGGGTTAGATGGCTAAGGCCAAGGGCTGGACAGCACAAGGAAAGGGAGTCGGGGGCGGGGGGGGGGGGCATCGGATTTCTCCGAAGGCCAGAGGGGAAATCCCTCACCCTTTCTAGCAAGGGCAAAGCCTCACCTAGGAGTCACCTCGGCCTGAGGTCCTCAGTTCCCCCACAGAGTACTAGAGTCCGTCTGGTGCACCCAGGGAAAGTCCCAAGAAATTCCCGGAGAATCCGGGGAGAGGCCAGCCCCCCTGCTAGGCAGAGGTTCCTCGGGAAGGTCAGCAAATGAGGGGTGACCGGATGAAAGAATTCCCCCAGGGCACAAGAGAGGAAATAGAAGTTTACCGAATACGCTGTGAGGGAGCGGCGGGTAGGACAGCAAGGCAGAGCTGGTCTGCCTGGAATGTAGCTTTTTTTTTAATGTGACTAAATGATGGTAGTTTTTTTTCCCCTCTTTCTTTCTGTTTTTATTTATCGTCAGATGAAACAGATGCCTGTTTCTTCCAGAATTGTTACCCATTTACTTAGGTTTGGTTTGCAGGGGGGTTCCTATGAATGTTTTTGCTTCTTTTGTGCTTCAGCCAGAGGTACTGGGGAAGAGAGGGAGGGCTTGAGATTAAATTCTTAGTGAAAGCTGATACAAGACATAGAACGAACGTAAGGTGCTGGAAAATTCAACAAGAAGCAATAACCAGGGCTGGTTGTTGTTCCTCTTGGCCTCTGACTAGAAATCCACGCTCACAGGGAGGGAGTGGCAGGTGCCTATGCTGTCCCCATACTCAGTCGCTCGTGCGACACATCTCTATCTTGAACCAGTGTTTCTTAGAATTAAAAAAAGGGCATGTAGGATATATATATATATGTAGCCCATGTGTGTGTGTGTGTAGCCCGTGTATATAGCTCTAACTTCTCTCCTAAAATCACGGGTCATGTAATATTGTGGCCAGGAGAGTCTTTGTTGGCAGCTTCAGAATGTACTAGTTTGACACGTCCCAGATGCAACACCTAAGAACGTTACATTAACAAATAGAACAGGGGCACCTGGGTGGCTCAATCCGTGAAGCGTCTGCCTTCCGCTCAGGTCATGATCCCAGAGTCCTGGGATCGAGTCCCACGTTGGGCTCCCTGCTCAGCGGGAAGCCTGCTTCTCCCTCTGCCTGCTGCTTTCCCTGCTTATGCTGACAAATAAATAAATAAAATCTTAAAAAAAGAAAACAAATAGAACACCTATGATTAACTCTTGGGAAAGCTTCAATTTCAACTTTACAAGTTTGCAAAAGAAGGTGAAATGCTTTTTTTTTTTTTTTTTTTTTGCTTGTAAAGACTCACATAGTCTTTTTAGTTTCCATTTGACTGTAAGCTTTTTCTGGAGATGCAAATAGTTCTAAAGGGAGGCTGGAATGGTGGTGTGTGTGCTGTCCTGTTGCAAATATCTGTTCTGTTTATGACGCTTCTGGACCACAGTGGCTTAACTGGTTCTCTGAAAGGAGTGGAGAAAGGATAATCTCAGAAGGTCAGAGGATTAACATTTCCCCACAAAGTTTTTGATAGAAAGTCTCAGATCAAGTGAAGCGGAGTAGAAATAAAACCAAATATTCTGCAATTTGTGAATTTTTCAAAGGGCACCCGTATGTAAAATTTCAGGTTTGTGTTTTGTATGTGTGTGGGTTTTAAACCCTGTGAGGTAACCATAACAGATACTATCGTTTCTGGTTTTTCAGTGAGGGGAAGCAGGTCTGGGACACAGCCTGAGTAACTTTCCCATTGTCACTTGCTAGTGTGGCACCGTGGCTAACGCCCAGATATTCTGATAGATGCTTGTTGCACAACGGTTCACTTTGTTTTCCCAGATACCTTCCCCTTGAGCCTAGAGACCATATGTTTTTAGAGTCTTTCTGCTCACATTTCAAGTGGCAGCCAGGGAGATCAAGGTGGTTACCCCGGCATTTAACGTTCTTAGGTGTTGCATCCGTGATGTATAAAGCCATCATGATGCCGGGGTGTATGTGGAGCATACACACCTCCATTCCAGCCTCCCTGGACTTTGCATCCCCAGAAAAAGGATGGAGTGCAGAGAGGTCCTCAGAACGGAGCCAGGTGGACAGGCCTTCACATCATTTATTCATTTGTCCTTGGGTGGGGCGCTCCTTTTTGAGAGCCAGCTTTGCTCCCTCCTCTCAAGTGTTGCGTGTGCGCCGAAATTCTTCCCCATGTCTCCTTGATATGGCTCTCTTCTGCTTCCCAGTCTTCTTAGCACGAGTGACCGTGTCTGGCACCGAAACTGCTAGAGCAAGTGATTGTTCACCCTTCTCTCAAACAAGAAAATAAGAGGTAAAATATAGCACCTATACTGCAGGCAACTATAGGAAGAGTTCCGCAAGAGGACCCCTGTTCCCAGATACCTTTTATTCTCCAATTCATACTGAATCAGGAGTATTTTCTCCATGTGTTTAAACATCGCTTGAAAATATTTTTCATGATTCTTCAGCATGTCATCGTATGAATTTAGCATCATTTATTTACATGTTCTTCTATTTTGGATATTTGGGTTACTTTCTCATTTTTTCTGTGATGAATGGCGTAGGGGGAAAAAACGGACTCCTTGAAGAAGGGAATTATTAAGTATGTGAAGAGATACAAATCCGGTGTAAATGCTTTGCTCTAGTCATTACTTCAGTAGTACATTGTAACAGTAATTTCAATCAGGTAAATACATGCTTAGTTTCCTGAAATAATGCCATTGTGATATTTGTTTTATTTTCAGATAGGGAAAAAGAATAAAGATGGGGGTGCCTGGGTGACTCAGTCGGTGAAATGTCTGCCTTCAGCTGAGGTCATGATCCCAGGGTCCTGGGATCGAGCCTCATGTCCGACTCCCTGCTCATCGGGGAGTCTGCTTCTCCCTCTGTGCCCCCCACCCCACTTGTGCTCTCTCTCTCTCTCAGATAAATAAAATAAAATAAAGAGTTTTCTTAGATAAGTCAGTGCCTTACTCTTATAATTGACCCTTGAACAATGCAGGGGTTCAGGGCACCGCCTGGCCCCCCCATGCGGTCAAAAATCCACATATAACTTGACTCCCCCCAAACTTAACTAGTCATAGCCTACTGTTGACCAGAAACCTTACTGATAACATAAACAGTTGATTAATACATATTCTGTATATGTGTTATATACTGTATTCTTACAATAAAGTAAGCTATAGAAAATGCTAAAAAAGTCATAAGAGAAAATACACCTACAGTACTGTATTTATTGAAAAAACCCTGCGTATCAGTGGACCCGCATAGTTCAAACCTGTGTGGTTCAAGGGTCAACTGTATTTTGATTCTGTTTGGCTAGCTCAGCATGAGAGTCACATGGTTCTACTTTTGGGCAGACTTTGAGGGAGAGGACCATTAGGTAAAAATGGAACTGGGAAGTCACATAAGTTAAAAAAAAGAAAAAGGACAAAGAAGGTTTTTACCATCCGGGCAAAAGAGGGTTTCTTCTTTCCCACATCCGTAGTGGATGAGATGTGTGAGCATACAGGAATTTGACTTGTTGCCTTGCATAAACTCAATATTCTTAGGATGAGGTCATACGTAATTAATCACCTGTCTTGCATTCTTTCCCAAGTGATGGCTCTTAGTGTTCATATGGGTAATAACTTTGGTTTCCCGAGTTCAGGAGCCCCAGGACTGCCAGTGAAGGAAGAGGAGGCAATGGTGGTTATGGGACCTTTGTGCTACTGTAAGGCAATGGGTAATTGTCTTTTTTCTTCTTAACTTCTAGTGCTTGAAACAATACCTGCAGCTGGCCATCCGAGAAGGCTGTGGGTCTCCCATTGCTTGCCCTGACACGGTGTGCCTGAACCACGGGACCCTGCAGGAAGCGGAGGTATGCACGAGTCCCATGACCTTCCCTCTTGCCTGTTGACGTTATTCCCTAGGATCTTGACTATGTACTTCCCTGCCGGAGGGAGTCTAGAAACAAAATACAAAGGCTTACTTTTTAAAGGAGTACTTTATTGCTACATACCTATGGATTCTTCATACAGACTGTTAAAACTGTTACTTACCTCAGTTCTATTGATAAATGCTGTCTACGTGTTGAAGAAGCTCTAGAATAGGCAAAGGTGCTAGGAATCAGGTTTACCAGATGTGCCGTTTGGAGGCTGAAGAGTGAGTGGTCCTGTGATCGTTAATACTTTAAAGATAAACAGATGACAGATTTTAACCAGTTATAGACAATATAAAGTATTGCAATTCTACGAAGGTAGACGGAGTCGAATCATTTCCTTTCATTTGATGTTTATCAGTCATCAGAAATATCCTTTTTCAATGAGTTCTTCTCCCATTTTCTTAAGATTGTGATATATCCCTTTCCTTTGTTTCTTCAATCCCCAATCAGGAGCTTGCCCTTGAATCTACTTTTTTTTTTAAAGGTTTTATTTATTTATTTATTTGAGATAGCACGAGTGGGGGCCAGAGGGAGAGGGAGAAGCAGGCTCCCTGCTAAGCAAGGAGCCCGATGCGGGACTCGATCCCAGGACCCTGGGATCATGACCTGAGGAGAAGGCAGACGCTTCACTGACTGAGCCACCCAGGTGCCCCTTGAATCTGCTTTTAATCTTCAGGTCCTGCTCACTTTATTTATTTATTTGTGAGAGAGAGAGAGAGGGAGAGCACAAGCAGAGGGAAGAGGCAGAGGGAGAATCAGGCTCCCTGCTGAGCAGGGAGCCTCATGTGGGACTTGATCCCAGGACCCTGAGATCGTAACCTGAGCTGAAGGCAGATGCTGAACTGACTAAGCCACCTAGCCTCCCAGGACAGCTCACTTTAATTCAGAAGATAAACAACGCTAGACCATCTTTGGGAAGATTGTAAGCATTGCTCCATTTACTTCTTTGCTTTTGGCTTATTAGAAAAATAATTATGGTTTCTGTTATGGAAAGAGGTCCCAAGAAACAGAGGAAATAAGTTATTCGTTCAGCAAACATAGCTCACCTGCTGTGTATTAGGGGCTCTGCTGGATGCTTTCATAGCTGGTTTACCATCTAATCCCTTCAACAAACTTAGAAATGGACCCCCAGGGGGTTTAAGTAATTTGCCCAAGGGTACATGTCTAAAACACAGAAGAGCTACAATTCTAATCCAGTTCTTTCTGACCACCATAACTACATGGCTTTAAGAGTAGAACAAGGTAGGTAGGTAGACTGTGTGATAAAGGACTTGATAATTGGAGACTCAGTAGTGTGCGTATGTGTGTGTGTGAATATATATACGTATATATGGGTGTGTATGTATGTGTTGATATGACTTGTGGGTGTATATATATATATACACAAATATATACACAATGTCCTCTGTAAGGATCTCCTCTGTAAGGAGGAGATTGTAAGCAAAGCAGGCAGAAAGATGTTTATAGACCATTTTTAACCAATCTGCAACTGGGTGTTTCATGTTCAGCTTATGGAGTATCAGCTAGGTGTTACAAGTGAGCTTGAAGTATTTTCTAGGGAAGGATAAAAGGAATACATAATGATTTAGAAGTGATTCATTTTAGGAAAATCAGGAAATAATGGAATGTTTTTGATAAAAAAGTAATATTGAATATTGGTGAGAAATATTGCTTTCCTTTGTATGAGAAAAGTAGAGAAGGAAATTAAAGGGAGGAAAGGTTGGGTGAGCTATACAACTTGGAAGTGGGTTTTAAAGTAGGACTCGAGTGTTCAGGAGCCTCTTTTGATGCATAATCCTTCTAGAAAAGGTGCTTCCTTTTTGATTTGCTTCTGTCATATTCTGATCAGTCAGCAGTGTTTATTAAGTGTGCAGAGTGTGCCAGGCCCTGTTCCAGGTCAGGATGGAGAGGTGAGTAAGATCGGCCCAGTGCTATCCTCATGGAGCTTCTGATCTAGCAGAGTGACATTAACCTGATGACAAGTGAGATTAACCACAGGCCTGTATCCTAGACCTTGTGCTGTCCAATCCAGTAGTCACTTGTTCCATATGGCTACTTACATTTAAATTAATTAAGATTAGGGGCGCCTGGGTGGCTCAGTTGGTTAAGCATCTGCCTTTGGCTCGGTCATGATCCCAGGATCCTGGGATCGAGCCCTGCATTGGGCTCCCTACTCATCAGGGAGTCTGCTTCTCCCTTTCCTTCTGCCTCCCACTTCCCTTGCTTGTGCTCTCTATCTCTCTGTCAAATGAATAAATAAAATCTTAAAAAAATTAAGATGAAATAAAATTAAAAATTCATTCCTTTGGTTGCACTAATCATGTTCTAAGTGCTCCGTAGCCACATGTGGCTCATGGCTGCCAGATTAGACAGCACCGAATATGACATCTCCAACATTGCAGAAAGTTCAATGGCACGGCGTTGTTGTAGACTTTTCAATGAATGGTAACCACTAGCCGTTGACAATTCGGATATCAAATGTTAGAGCTAATGTGTTCAGACAAGTGGGTGAGGAGAGTCTGTCTTGCAGCTCTCTGGAACAGAATTTAACTTTTCTGATTTTCTTAGTATAGAATTTTCTTTTCATATTTACCATTCACCTGCAGTTCTCCCCTCCATCTTATTTCTTACCCTTTTCCCATCAGACATTCTTATCCCACTTTCCCGGCACTCATTCCATGTACCCAGTTTGACTCTAAAAACAGTTTAACTTTTGAGCTGTATGGAAACCAAACAAACCCACAATGTCTCTTAGAAATTACCAAAGGGTATTTGAAAAAAAAATAGAACAAAAACGTCTTCTGAACTAAACTATGGTATTTCTTCAATTCTTCAAAGTCTGTTTCCCATTAGGTGAGTAGAAAGACACTCCAAGGCATTAAAAGGACCGGTTCTGTTCTCACTGGTCTGCTGAGAGCCTGACTAAAGATGGGCATGAATGTACAGTCATCAAAGTTCTTAACCAACGGGCCACTTTTTTTCCACCCCCAGAGTAAAAAATTGTGGTGGTGGTAGTAACGGTCTCTCATTTTGAATTGAGACATGAATAGAACCTTATGTTAAAGATATTGGTAGCTTTCCCAATTTATATGGGACCATTCCTTTCGAGGCAGATACCACATACACATGAACTTGGGCTACACCATCTTCCTTTCTGGCTTCCTTTACATCAAGCTTTCCTTGTATATAGTTATTATTATAATAGCTCTTTTTTTTTAAGTTTTTTTTTTTTTTTTTAAAGAGAGAGCACACGCACAAGCCCGGGGAGTGGCAGAGGGAGAGGGAGAAGCAGGCTTCCCGCTGAGCAGGGAGCCCAAAGTGGGGTTCGATCCCAGGACCCAGGGATCACGACCTGAGCCAAAGGCAGACGCTTTACCGACTGAGCCACTCAGGCGCCCCCCCCAACTGTGTGTGTGTGTTTGTGTGTGTGTTTGTGTGTGTGTGTGTGTAGCCCAGTGTGGGGCTCGAACTCTTGACCCTGAGATCAAGACCTGAGCTGAGATCAAGAGCCGGATGCTTAACTGACTGAGCCACCCAGGCGCCCCTATAATAGGTAGCTCTTAATCCAGATATGATTGAGTATATCATAATGGGGCTTATCCAGCTTATGCTTGACTGGATTCTGTCTCTATGACTATTTCTTCTGCCTTTTAAAAAATGTTTTATTATACAGGTTACACATAAATATACCTTGCATGTTAAAAATAGTTCTGGTTAAGACTCAAGTTCCCTTGGTGCAGCTGCTGTTTATGTTAAAATACATGGTTCTTCATCATTCACTGTCTTATAAAATGCATGTAGGTAGGACATTTCTTCATCTTCAGAGGACAGCAGGCATTTAAGCTCTTTGCTCCAAATGCTTTCCAGTGTAGATCTAGCCCACGTGGTTGCCCATGTTCCTTGCATCTGCCCCTGCTCACTGTGGGTCCTGCCTGCCTTCTTACTGCTTCCAAATGAGCTCAGCGGTGGCTCTGTCCCTGAACTTTTATTCATCAGCAATAGCTTCATTAGCAAAGCATTTAATGCCTGATCCAAGTACTGTTTGCTTCTGGAGGAAAACAGTAGAAAAGGCACCTTCGCTTCCATGTCACACAAGCTGGTGGGAGGCTGGGGGCCCCTGGAAAAGTAAAACTTGCCCTCCCTGCATCATCTGGTACTTTCAGCTAGTGGTGGGCTTTTCTCATGTACCTGATCCGGGAATCTTGTCCACTATGGAATTACGAGAGGTGGGAGGCAGACTGTTCTGGCAATATTACTTCGGGCAAGGCCCTGGGAGTTCATAGCCCTGTTAAAAAGGTGATGACTACTGGAGCCGTTCCCTTACTGTGTTAGGGAAGTCTCAAGCCGTCCCCTGCTGGGGGAGCCTGAGCCATTTGTCAAGGCCCGGTAAAATTTGAGCGGTGAGCGCATACCTACCATTACATGGCCTGAGAAATTCAACTTCTTCCCTCTGCCAGTTGGCAGTGGAAGGCAGGGAACAGCTTCTCAACAACCAAGTCTCCTTCCAAGTCTTGGGGCATTGAAGTGACCAGCCTGCATCTTGCTGCTAGAGCCCCCCCACCACATGCCCCAGAGCAAGGATGGGGGCAGCTGCTCGTGCCAAGAATGGGGGCTCCAGAATTTCTGTAGGAGGGGGCTTAGGCTGTGGGGCACTGTGGAGGACTAGGAGAGAGGAAGGGGGGCGTGGAGTTCTAAGGAATTTGAAGCTACATTTGCAAAATAAATATAGATTTTACTCATGTTGCATGTTTATCAGGGTGGCACCGGGCAAGGCTGCTGGAGTTCTAGAGAGCCGTGTGCTCCCTGCATATGATCCCTCAGCACAGCCCCCACTTGCCGTGTCCTCCTGTCACACTCTTCCTTCCCAGCATCACAGTGTGAGGTGAGGCAGAGGGAGGATAAGGATACGCAGTCAAGCAGCCAGGTTCCTGTTGCTG